GGCTCAGTGGGAAGAGTGCTTGCCTTGCATGCATGAGGCTCTAGGTTCAAGTCCTCAGCACCACATAAGCAGAAAAAGCCAGAAGTGGTGCTGTGGCTCAAGTGGGAGAGCACTAGCCTTGAGCTGAAGAGCTAAGGGACAGCACCCAGGACCAGAGTTCAGGCTCCATGACCAGAAAAAAAAAAAAAATTAAAGTTTTGAAGTTATTAAAAGCAAGTGCTTAGCCGGGTGCTGGTGGCTCATGCCTATAATCCTAGCTACTCAGGTGGCTGAGATCTGAAGATCGCGTTTCAAAGCCAGCCTGTGCAGGAAAGTCTGTGAGAAAATTATCTCCAATTAACCACCAAAAAAAAAAAAAAGCTGAAAATGGAGGTGGCTTAAATGGTAGAGTACTAACTTTGAGCAAAAAAAGCTCAAGGACAGCACCTAGCACAAACAAAAATAAGTGCTAAAATGATTTAATATAATTTGTAGTTTTACTTTTAAATTTTACCAAATTTTAAAATTTTTATAAAGCTTTATAATAACAATAGTTCTATTTAAAAGTTCACATTTTTTTTTGTTAAACTGTGTAGGTAGAATTATTTAAAAAGATCTTGGTATCCTGATGATTTTTTAAAATTGTTAGTATACACATATACTTCCTAAGCTGGCATTTGTCTTTTTTGGTTGTTTTGGTTTTGCTTATTTGAATTCTTAATTTTTTTTTTTTCTGTCTTCACAGTCACAAACTCGCAGAACCCCAAGTCTTTCGAGTCTCAATTCCCAGGATTCCAGTATTGAAATATCAAAGCTTACTGATAAGGTGCAGGCTGAATATAGAGATGCTTATAGAGAATATATTGCTCAGATGTCTCAGTTAGAAGGGGGCACTGGGTCGGCGACAATCAGTGGTAGATCTTCTCCCCACAGCACATACTACATGGGTCAGAGCTCATCAGGGGGCTCCATTCACTCTAATCTAGAGCAAGAGAAGGGGAAGGAGAGTGAGCCAAAGCAAGATGATGGGAGGAAGTCGTTCTTAATGAAAAGGGGGGATGTGATAGATTATTCATCATCTGGCGTTTCCACTAATGATGCCTCACCCCTGGACCCTATTACTGAAGAAGATGAAAAGTCTGACCAGTCAGGCAGTAAGCTGCTCCCAGGCAAGAAATCCTCAGAAAGGTCCAGTCTTTTCCAGACAGATCTGAAGCTTAAGGGAGGTGGATTGCGCTATCAAAAACTTCCAAGCGATGAAGATGAATCAGGTACGGAAGAGTCAGACAATACTCCACTGCTCAAAGATGATAAAGATAAAAAAGCTGAAGGCAAAGCTGAGAGAGTGTCCAAGTCTCCAGAACATACTGCTGAGCCTATTAGGACATTCATTAAAGCAAAAGAGTACTTGTCAGATGCTCTCCTTGACAAAAAGGATTCATCAGATTCAGGAGTGAGATCTAATGAAAGTTCTCCCAATCACTCTCTTCACAATGAAGCCACTGATGGTTCCCAGCTTGAAAAGGCAAATCTCATAGAGCTGGAAGATGACACCCACACAGGGAAGCGGGGAATGCCACACAGCCTGAGCGGCCTGCACGATCCAATCATAGCTCGCATGTCCATTTGCTCAGAAGACAAGAAGAGCCCTTCAGAATGTAGCCTGATAGCCAGCAGTCCTGAGGAGAGCTGGCCTGCGTGCCAGAAGACCTATAATCTGAACCGAACACCCAGTACTGTGACTCTGAACAACAACACTGCTCCAGCCACAAGACCCAATCAACATTTTGATGAGATGGAGGGAATTAGAGAGTCTTCTCAGGTCATGTTGATGCCTGGGCCCACTCCAACTACTATTCAGAATGAAAATCTAAAAAGCTTGACACATAAGCGAAGCCTACGTTCGAGTTACACAAGGCTCTCGAAAGATGCCTCTGAGCTCCATGCAGTAACCCCTTCTGATAGTGCAGGCTTTGGAGAAGAAAGAGAAAGCATTCTTTAAGGAAAACAAGTAGAAGTGGTGGAATGTTAGGCCCTATCACAAAATTGTCCTGAATTTTGAATTCATCCACAGCCTTCAGACATTAGGAGTTTATAAACCTCACTACCATTATTATGCTTTTCATTGGCACATAACTCCATAAAATTGTTGAGACATCATCTAAGTATAAAAATAAATCAGAAAGGGCTGGTTTGTTAAGTATAAAGGGCTTAACTTGCAAAAGAAAAACCTAAGGATCCCCTTTGTAGAACAATTATTGAACACACACCTGGGGGAGATGGTGTTAGATAAAACAAAAGCAAATTCATTCATAAGGTGTTTAGATAAGAATTTACAGGTTTTAGGCATGGAGTTGTGGTACCTGCTTAGCAAGGTGAGACCAAACCTCATTTACCTCCCCCCCCCAGGCAAAAAAAAAAAAAGACAACAACAAAAGGAATTTTGATGTGTTTGGAGTAGCCAGAGACTTAAGGGTGAATTAATTTTACAACCAATATTCTATATAATATACAAATTGATGACTAAAAAGGTTTTAAGTAGAAAATATTTACTGAAGAGGGCTTTAAGAAAGTCAGCAATACCCAGAGTAATTTAACAGTTTAGCTGGGCCAGCCTTACCATTAGTACGATTCATTCGGTAACTCTTAAGTTGTGTGCCCAGCTTTTCTAAGGGGTCTTAGCAAGAGTCGGGGGTGGAATTTTTTCTTTTTTTTTTTTTTTTTGGTGGTACTCTGAATCCTGTTTAGGACCTTCTAAATGCTAGACTGAGCTGTATCCCCAGACCCAAGCATGAACTCTTCCTCTGCAGAATCAAGCAGATATGGGCAATAATTTGTGGAATGATGTATGAAGAAACTTTTACATAAGAACATTAGTGATGAAGACAAGGAAACGTTTAATTGGGTAGAGCTAAATCATTGTCTTCTATATTAGGGCAGAGTGTGCCAGCGGCATTTGTCCCCTAAATCAGCATGTTAATTGTGAGGAAGGATTATTAAAAGAGGAAGTACATTTTTTGAACATTGAAAAGCATGAAACTGTGTGAGTAAAAACAAGATATAACTGGTGTGACCGTGAAACCCTCTTCTTTGCAATTATTGTTCACAGACATTAAGAGAATGATCGCATTTCGGTATTATGTAGGCTAGAGAGGTCCCTGCCATCATGCATTAAAATTGTTCGTCACTTTCACATAGCTTATTATGTAGAATTAGTTCTAGCAGTATATCTTATCACAGGTGGGACTGCAGAAGGTGAGGTCACAGCTGTGTGATTACCCAGACAGAACCATGTGTGTATGTGTGTGTGTGTGTGTGTGTGTGTGTGTGTGCTGCTCACCTACTTGACCAGGCCTTGTGCTGAGAGTTGCTCTTCTGTGTTTCACTGCCTTGACGTTTGAGTACAATGGAGCATTTTATAGTTTACTTTGCATGACCTTTCACAAATGTTTTAGCATTAACAAAGGCAAGGTGTTACTGACATTTATAAATTGTAGTGTTAACATTTTAATATTTATGATATTTATTAGTTTGCAATGTGCTGTAATATTTCAGAGTCAGTGTTTTCCTTTTCAGGTGAGTAGTTGCAGCTTCTTCCTCATTGGAGGATACTTTCTCATGCTGTTTGTGAAATTAATACTGGAGTACTAAATGTACAAGTAGATTTAGAAAACAATAAAAAGTTGCATGTCATTCTGACTCATGGAGTTTTATTCCCTATGGTAAATGAATCATTTTGATTAAAAATAAAGAAGTAATGTGTGTGTTTGTTTTTGTCATGTATCAGCAGTTGGTAAAGACTCACAGGTCATAGAGTTGGCAGAAGTGTTCCAGCCACCCCCACAAGTGTTTCTGAGAGAACGTGCCTCTAAAGTCTCCATGCCATCCAGTGCTTTCTCTTAGCATCTCTGACAAAGAGTTCAATGGTGCCATAGCATCTTGCTGTGCATTTCTATAGCTGAGCAGGCCAGATGATCCAGGTCCTGGAGAACAGCAATTTATTACGGAACATTCTGGACGTTTGCTTTTTCTGACTGATACAGAAATGACAGTACAGATGGGTTATTGAGTCACCATAATTTCTTTGAGTCTGTATGCCAGTTTATGTGTATCTATTCTATTTATAACACACTGCCCAGACTGATGCACACATGCACACTGCTTTAAGCAGGATAAAGATGGATAGAAACCTGGGGCTTGAATCTTGCTATAGAGTCTTACATTGTATGGACCAGTCTGCCCCCACTGTAAACCACAAGGGAGATGTGTTAATGTGTGTCATATAAAGGCAGGGCTGCTCCTCTTGACAGGGTGCTGCCTGTGCACATATCTTTGGACAAGCCCAGAAATGACAAAGCTGTTGGTATTTTTCACTCGAGACAACTTGCATGGTGCCGAATGCTTAAGGATCAGCCCTCCTATGCTGGGAAATTTAAGTATACGGAAACTGAAACAACATTTCACTATTGAAGGAAAATTTGTCTTCACATGATGTATTAGAGCTTTATTTATATAGTGCTTAGAATTTAATTGCCTAAGTAATTTGAGCTAAAATTCTCTTGAGAGTTCTGGATCATTTGCATGCTTGTAGTACTACAGTGAAATATATGTGACTAATTTTTTTCTTACTAATCAGAATTTTTTTGGAATGAAATTAAATCTTTTTTTTTTTCCTTCTGGCTAAAGTACTAAATTTAAAAGGGTTTAAGACCACATAATTTTGGGTTACACCAGGAATTCTCAGCCTCTTTAGAAGTATCCCATAGTTTAAAAATCTCTGAGTTCCTGGCTAAATCTTGAGCATATCACAGTAGTGGCCAGGAAAAGAGAGAATGAGGAGCTCTTGTTCCCTTTGTCTTATGGTGGATGACTTAAGGGGGAAGAGGTAGAAAAGGTGTGGTGAATTTTTTGGTCAGCATTTGAGACTGGAGCCCAGCCTCTTATCCCCCACCTCACAGGTCCTGCTGACCCTTGAAGGAGGGTAGAAGCCAGTGGGGTACCTTTTTGCTTGGGGTGGGGATAAGGCCTCAGTGCCCATCTGAAACAGTTTAGGTAATTCTCCAGGTCATACTACCCCCTGTCATTCCCCACTCAAGCTTAAACCTTGGCCATGATTATACAAATGAGCTGAAAAGTTGAAGTTCACAGTAAGCCAGCACTGAATGCTTTTTAAATGTCTTGTCGCTCTACCAAGGTTGAGAATCCCTGGCTGAGACTGATTAAATAGAAAGAGACTTTAAGATCTTACGTAATTTTAAACCCTTTCGTGCCTAGGAAGAAAATGCCGTCCTTGAGATAGATAGATCTCCAGAAGATGCAGTCTAAGGTATGTAAAAAATTAGTTTTCAAAGTGTACTAGTATTAAGCCAGCTGTGGAAAGAGTTTTTCCTACTTACGGAATTAATATTCTTACCACTTAGTTTTGTCAAATATGAGTTAAGTATCTAGAACAACTGCTAGGAAGTAGCCTTGGTCACCTACATGATGGAAGTTTTTCATAAAATGAGTAACATATCCCAGCCTGGGCTCTATCATCTTGACAGCTTTGACCCTGGCCTTTGTGGAGATTGAAAGACATTTCTAGAGCTTGGGGTGGAATCTTTTTTCTTCTTCTTCTTTTTGTGCCAGTCCTGTGGCTTGAACTCGGGGTCAGGGCATTGTCCCCTGAGCTTTTCTGTTCAAGGCTAACATTCTATCACTTGAGCCACAGCTCTACTTCCAGCTTTTATCATTATCATTATTATTATTTGGTGATTAATGAAGATGATTTGGTGATTAATTGAAGCCCAAGTGAGCTTTAAACTGCATCCTCAGATCTCAGCTTCCTGAGTAGGTGGGGTCACAGGTGTGAGCTACTGACACCTGGCTTTGAGTTCTTTTTGAGCAGGGCCTCTGTGGACATGGAGTGAGCACTAAATATTCTGGTTGCCCAGTGCAGTGAGGATTTTTTGGAACATAAAGCGTCTGTAAGAATGCAGAGGCCCGCCAGGAGGGAAGAACAATTACAAATGTTCTGTGACTTAGGGATCTCACCTTGATAAGTGTAGACAAAGTGTAGATGGTGCAAGTAGAGATTTCATGGGAGGCTCCAGTGCTCCGATACTGACGTCGTTTTGTGATCTTGGGGCTGACTGGGAACTGCAGCTGCTGTCACCATCCAGCCTCAGGAGAGAGTTAGACCACCATTATCAGCCCAGGAAGAGAGCAACGTTGGAAAGTCAAACAGCAGCTCCCAAGTGTGCATGCCTTTCCCCATCATGCAGCTTGGGTGCCATTAGCAGTGGCCCATCTATAGTGCCAAAACTGTTAGGAAGATGGTTTTTTGTTTTGGGAGGCAATACTGGAGGTTGAGCTCTGCACCTCATGCTTCCAAGCTGATGTTCTACTATTTGAGCTGCTTCTCTAGCCCTTTTTGCTTTAATTATTTTTTCAGGTAGGGTCTTCCTTTTTTTGCCCAGACTGGCCTAGACTTTGATCCTCTGACATACATCATTCCTGCATACATATGTGCCACCATACCTATCTTGTTGGGTGAGATAGGCTTTTCCTAACATTTTGCCCTGGCAGAGGTAAAAAGGATAACCTTTCACCTCTCGTCTCTGCCTCCCGAGTAGCTGGGGTCACAGGAATGAGCCATCATGGCCTTGGGAAGTATCATCAAAAGTCATAAAAAAATCTAATTGAAGTGAGGACCAACCTAAATTAGCAACTAATTAATTACATAAAGATAAGGGTGCTGTTGCAGACCACACAAAATCTCTCTGCCTGGGCCAGGTCACTGGCTTAGAGAGAAGCTTGCAGTCCTTGCCCCTCTCCTGCCAAACACGGGGGGCGCTGCTTAGCCAGACGTGTGTGTTAGGGGCTGTATCTTGCTTTGTTGGGAATCTAGCAAACATGAATAGCCTATTAAAATGAATTGTTCAAACATGAAAACAGTTTACAGATGACCCTTACGTTTAAGAAACGGTTAGAAATAATTGTTTCATTCACTATCATTTTCTAATATTAACATTTTATACTTATTTACCTCATTTTTCTTCAAGGCAACAAGGGCTCTAGACCTTAGTCCCCTGTCCATAGACCCGGCACTGCTTCCTTCTCATTTCTCCTGACAATTGCTTAGCTTCTCATGGTTGGCTTCCTCACCAAATATGAGGGAGTAAAGAAGAAACAGCGGCGTGCAGTCAGCTGGGAAAAAAGATGTGTTCACCTCACCAGTGTAATGTGTTCTTAGTAGCTGTAGAACTTAAATTAGTTAGAATGAAGTGTTCTTTTAATGAAATTTTAGGTAAGAGTCCAAATGTATAGCAAAAAGCATGTAACTTATCTCTACATGACCTGGCATTTCAAGTCTTACAGCATGGTCTTAGGTATCTAATAAAAAGATTGTTATTTTCAGAATTATCATAGTTCCTGACACTTGTAACTACCTTTTAATTTGTGTTTCTGAGAGTTTGTAGGCTGCATATTGTTTTTCAATGCAAATTAAACCACTTTTATTTTGAAAGACATTTTTTTTTTTTTGGTTTTGTGTGTGTGTGTTTCAACCACTATGTTTTGTCTTGAGTTCCTTTCAGTCTTTTTTGTACCCTGAGTTTGCTGTTGTTGTTTGTTTTTGTGTGTTCTCACCACCCTTTTTACCACAAATGCACCCCCCCCCCCCTTCCCCAGGGCAGCAGAGTAAAAAAAACTCAATGCAGCTCTTTAGGCCAAGCTCTAGATTTCAGAGAGCCTATGGACAGTCACAGAATACTTAAAGGATAAACTAGAATAACCACCTAGGAAACTGTCCAGAAATCCTGTGGCATCTTACAGTATCAAGTGTACATACCTTACTACTGGGTCTGAGCAGTTCCTTACTGGCTTACCCTATCTGTCACCTGTCTGGCCCTGATAAGCTAGTCTGTTTCTACTTCTAGTAATCTTTCCGGAAAGAGTCCTATGCTTTATTCAATAAACGGCCCCGGGTGGGCATCCATAGCCCATCTTGATCAGCTCTAGGTGATGTTTACTTCTCGCCTACTTGTGTGACATAAACCCATTGTTTAGTCTTTAACAGGCCTTGTGTGACATAAACCCATTGTTTAGTCTTTAACAGGCGCCCATCGGATAAATTAATGTTAATTATAGAATCAGAGTGGTTCACTCCTGCACTTTACATTAGAATATTGAAAATGTTTAAGTATAACTTACCTATGCTGAACATGTTTTCTCTGGGATCAAAAATTGAGGTATGTAGTTAGAGTGAAAAATAGCGTTTTAGACAATCACAGTCTGGGATGAAGTTTTCTTTTATTGAGCCCAGACCTTCAGCGTTGCTTTTAGCAAGGGTACTTTCTTTCTTTCTTTTTTTTTTTTTTTTTTTTGGGGGGGGGTCCGGTCTTGGGGCCTGAACTCTGGGCCTGGGCACTGTCCCTCAGCTCTTCAGCTCAAGGCTAACGCTCTACCACTTGAGCCACAGCGCCACTTCGGGCTTTTTCCTTTTTGCTTATGTGGTGCTGAGGAATCGAACCCAGGGCCTCAGGCATGCAAGGCAAGTGCTCTACCACTGAGCCACCTTCCCAGCCCCAGCAAGGGTAATTTCAAAGATCTGCCTTACCCATCTTTGTCATTCCATATCTCAACCACTGGTTAAGTGTCACCTAGGAAAACCATGGTTCGCTGAGACTCCTGTATAGGCCGTTCTGTATTGTTTGGGATTTTCCTCATCATATTGAGGATAAGGAACTATTGCAACAATCCCCCAATCTTATAACAGTACATCTGACGTCTACTTCATTTTTGTGTAACAGTTCAATGGAACCCTCGGTTCACCTAAAGATCAGGCTCCATTTTGTGGCTCTACTGGGATCCAAAGCTGCCCAAGGACAGGAGGTGGAGGTGGGGGAGAAATGTGCAATGTCTGGGATCTTACATCAGGGGATGCTGCTGAGCCAGCGGCAAGGCAGGCTGGAGGCTGGGTGTGGCTCTGCACCTTGAGGATCAGACTTGTCTGTGGCACTTAGATTCAGACATAGTTGCTCAGCGCCAGTTACACATAGTATTTTGTATTCAGCTTTAAGAGCAATTCCTTTTGTTTCCATCTTTTACATTTTACCTTGTATGACATTCTTACTGTGATAAAGATGTCTGCTAAAATCATAACTCTAATCAGAAGGAGGGTCTTAGATGAAGTCGGTTTCCAATTGGCTAATTATTTCCATACTTTCCAAAAGCCAAACAGCTGTGCACTGTGGGGCAGGTTTTAGGGAGACCTGAGCAAGGCTAGGGATGGGGCAAGGAAGGAAGTTTCACAGCCCCGAATTATTCGAAGAACTCTCAGATGATCAGATTGCCACCAGGAATCTGAAATCTGACCAGTGTTTAGGGTTTGATTATAAGTATTTGGAATAGACATTCTGTTGCTATCAATTTTTTTCCATTTCCTGGAATTCAGCTCAATACATACTTTATATGGTCAGAGGTACAAAGGCATTGCTCTTGTTATCAGTTCTTTAAACCCTCTTCAGCCTTCCAGAGGCAAAGGTGACTCACAGTGGCCTCTCCTGGCACTGCCTGAGGGGATTTGCTCCTGGCTGGCTCCCACCTCTGCTCCCACTGGGCGTGAACCTGCAGAAGCCAGGGTGGCCATTCTCCTGCCCAGAGATAGAGCTCCCCCAGGAAAGCCACTGGGAGAATCCAGTGGTCTACATGATTGTCTTTAAAGAAATTCTTCTGCCATCTAGCTCCTTGACCACTGTCCAGGCTTTATATCAGGATTTCGTTCATTCTAAGATGCATCCCCCCACCACGTTTTGATTTATCTGACATTAGATTGTATCTTGAGGCCACTAGAGTCAACGGTAGCATTTTTCAGTAGTTCCTAAAGTAATAACATACCCTACTGCTGATGGACTCTTGATTAGACTTATTACGGTGTTACTTTAGTATATGACATGGACTTGTTTTGGATCTTTAGCCATATTAATGGGTTAGCAGTGATTTATATTCAACTTAACCCCCCACCCCCAATTCAACATGTTATTTATGTTAACAATTATTCTTCATCCTGTATCCATAACATACTTAAAGAATCATTATGCATTTGTTATAACCAAAGTAGCTTACCTGTGTGCCTGACCATGTCCATGACCTTCATGTATATTAACTAATTTAAACTGTATGACCACCTTATAACTATTGTCTCAATTCACAAATACAAAACTGAGAAACAGAGATGTTAGTGGTTACTCAGTGTCACACAGCAACTAAATGACAGAGACAGGGTTCAAACCCAGTGTGTGATTTCATAATGCCCGCTCCTGCAGTGAGTGGTTTTCAGTCTTTACTGGAAGGGGTCAGTTGTTTCTTACAGTTTGCTAAGATAGTTTACTTTTAGCTTCATTTGTATGCCGTCATCATCATTAACATTATCTACTTGTTTTAACATGTGATTTGGGGGCTCTTGAAGGGCTGTTTTATTTTTAAAATTTTTGTTATCGTTAGTTATACAAAGGAGTTCCAATTCAACATGTCAGTTTATGAATTCAGTGCCTCTTGATCAATGGTTTTCTTTTATCGCTCTCTCCATCTCTTCCAACCCACCCATCCACTCAAGTCAGCTGGCTTCAAAGGGCTATTTTAGAAAGGTAAGTTTTTACTAAAACTTAGAGCCATGTGCATTATATTTATAGAGAAAAAGTCTTGAATGATAAGTTTATGAAAAACAGCCATATGAATTATATTTATAGAGAAAAAAGTTGATATTTTTAATATTGAATGTCCCTTTCCCCACAAATTATTTTTGGACACTTAATGTTTGATTCAAATTATTGACTTTACGTTTAATATCCTTAATCCCATTATTATCATGGATTAGACCAATACATCGAAGTTTATACAAGATGCATTCATGTTATTCGCAGTCTACTGTTATCTGGTTTCATATTTGCCCTTTTGTGTCTGCTGTTAGCATTCTGTGTTAAAATATAATTCTAAGTGCCACTGTGTGTTTTCTTCATAATTTAATATTGAATAATAATGCTTAATAAATATTAATAGGTAAATAACATATCTACTTTAAAATCATTATTGCAATAGAGTTGTTTTTTTTTTAATGACTGTGGCTGCTGTCTCCTAAGGGAAGGGAAATAAAAGGCAAAACTGAGACCCTGTTCTGTCTAAGGCTAATCACCAAAGCTGGGAAAGGAGCAGATGTATCAGGGATGGTGGATTGATATGGTCCCGTGACATTTCAGTCTCTTGTAACTGAACTGGGAGTTGTAGACTTTTGACTTTAGGCCCAGACTCCTGGGGCTCCACATCAGATCTGACCACTTGCCCGTGTACACCACGTAAAGAGATATGGTGGTGGTGACAAGCAGAGAGGAGGTCATTATTAAGGAGGTTTGTCATGTGGCCTGGCCTTAGCCCTCCAGCCTGTTTCCAGCCACCTTCAAGATGCAGGTAGGAGCTTTTGATTTAGACAAGGAATTAGATCTGGGGGGGAGGGGCTAAGGGTGTAGAGAGTTAAATAAATAGTCCCAGCCACAGGGGGTCAGGGTGGCCATGTTGTCAGTCCTTGTTGGGGGTGGGAGGCGGTTCTGGAGACATGTCCTCTGTCCTGGGAGGCTCTGATGCCCCTTTCCCCCCATCTCTCCTTGTGAGCATGTTGTCCATAAATCCTGTCCCTCCTGAGAGAGTGGCTTACGGCAGAGGCACACAGAATGGAGGCAGGGAGGCCACACTTGAAACCTACTTTTTAGTTAATTCGGGAGCCCATGTAGGGAGTCAGCACAGCAGCATTTAGACAGCCCTTAGGTTGCCCTCTGTCTAATAATCCGAGTGCTCACCACCAGTTACGTGTGACGAAAGGGACGTCACATGGTGAACATCTAAATCCTAACCTCCCTGCAAGCTCAACGTTGTGATGAGCCCTAGTTTACCAGTGAGGGCTCTGAGATCATGAACGTTAGAACCGACCTGACCCTAACATCAACAGAGCAACCCCCGACCCCACTGCCTGCCCGCTGCGCGCTGCCCTGCCCGCTGCCCTGGCCGCTGCGCGCTGCCCTGGCGTTCTGACTGAACCAGCAGCCCTGAGGCTCACACCCCAGTACCCCCAGGACTGCAGCTTCACAGCACGCTGCTGGGAGGCAGGCCAGCTTCTGTTTGCCAGGTTCTGGGAGGGAGGACAGGGGTGAACACACCGCAGAGTCACTGCTGGCTAGGCCCCCTAGGATCCCAGACAGCCTCAGGCCTGGCAGACCAGGTCCTGGTCCAGGTGTGGATCTGCAGGACATTGGGGACTCATTGGCTCTTCAATCTGCCTGTGTCCCAACACTGTCTGCCCCTTGCCAATGGGAGTCTGCACTGAGCCCTGCCCGCTGCGGTAAACATAACTAGTGTGAATATATTTAAACTGGTCTCCGTGTGTATTTAAAGTTTACACTACCAAATGGCTGGTTTTGAGTCCGCAGATTTCGTATTTGACAAGCGGCCAGACTCAGAAATTAAAGCAGCCCAGGAAGTA